CGTTTTTGTGAACCACGCGCCGTCACAACAAACCGACCACGCGCCCCGCGCCGTCTACCTGGCGTGTTTATATCCGATTTGCGTATACTACACCGCATCTCATTGTCAAAATCGCGCAATTCATAACAGCCGCGCCCCGTCAGTAACGCCTTACTATCCGCAGCGCACCCGCTCCGCGGGGCATTTCTGTATTATTATTCAGCGCCGATAGAAGCCAAATAAAGTAACATTCCTTTATATTTTACTTACATCGTATGTCTCACTACTTTCTACGAGCCCTGATCACGACCGAGCGAATCCGCGAGCTCATAAAAAGTACACCCATTACAAAGTGTTGCGAGCTTGTATTCATGCCGAAATATGCAGTATTATGTTGCAAGCATCGATCGGTCACTATCTTCAATTGTTAATAACTTTGTAATAAATAACGAGCGACGGCAAAAATTTTTTGCATGTTACTCAGAGCCATGTCCTTGACAACATATGTCAAGGTCATTGAAATCGGTGAGGTCGGCGCTAATATCAAGGTTTACCAAAATGACTTTGAATTACTAGATAATAATAAAGAAAAAACATATGGAGAAATTAAATGAAATAACACAGATCAAAGTCATACATCAAATATAAATAATAACATTTCGATTTGATTTGATTAATAAAACCGCAAATATTTTGTTTCGGAAACATTCGCGATAAATTTCCATTTTTCAACTTTTTTTATGTCCATGACCTTGAATGTTCATGACCATTGAAACTGTCTTCGAAAAGGCTTCAATCATATTAGGTGTTCGAAAATGCATGATCCCATTTAAAAATGTGAAGATAACCTTCAAATATCCTAAGCACTTCCAGCTGGGAAAAAATATTAATCTCCGCAAGATATCATCTTCGATACCACACAACTTTTACTTCAAACATTTTTTTCTATCTCCAAAACTGTAGGAGTTATTCGGGTGGCCGGTCTTAGATGACTCACCCTGTATACACATATATGTGTGTATCACTGATATGGTGACTGACACTTCACTTTCCAATAACGTCCTAGAAATTTTTGATGATCTCTAATAAGATAAATTCGCCATACATTTAGCATTTTCGACAGAAACACTCAATGTAGAATCAGTGTGGAGCATTTTGGCGTAGAATTTGTCTATTTCGTAGCCATAAATCAACTAATAGTGTAATTATATACATTAATTATTCGTGATGGACTCTATTATATATATATATAATCATTGTTATTCATAAAATAATTACTACTTGTTCTAACTGTTGATGTTTTACATTGGTGTAACGCATATAGCGTCACAATATATTAGGTGTACAACTTTGCTTCCGCCGTTTTTCTATAGATACCTTGAGCGGTAAGTAGTGGTCGAAATAAATAGATCATAGACGTCATGCAATAAACTTGGGCATCTGTCAACATAACCCCATAGAAACATTAGTCGATTTGTGTCTGCATCATAAAGTTATTCTCGATTGAAAATGTCAGTTTACGAGCCAAATTCTCGTCATTTGCGGGAGGTTTTAATTTTCTGCTTCAATATGAAGAAATCTGCGGCTGAGGCTCATCGAATGCTCTGAAATACTTATGGTGAGGCCGCTATTAGTGAAAGAACGTGTCGTGAGTGGTTTCAACGCTTCAAGAACGGTGATTTTCACGTCGAAGACCGGAATAGCTGTGGAAGAGAGAAGGTTTTCGAAGATGCAGAATTGGAGGCATTACTTAATGAAGACTCGAGTCAAAGTCAAGAAGAATTGGCACGATCATTGGGAGTGACTCAACAAGCAATTTCAAAACGCCTCAAAGACATGATTCAGAAGCAAGGAAATTGGGTGCCGTACGAGTTGAAACCGAGAGATGTTGAATGGCGTTTGTTTGCTTGTGAACAGTTGTTTGAAAGGCAAAGACGGAAGGGATTTCTGCATCGCATTGTGACTGGGGACGAAAAATGGGTTCATTACGATAACCCCAAGCGCAGAAAATCATGGGGATATCCCGGCCATGCTTCCACGTCGACGGCCAAACCGAATATTCACGGCTCCAAGGTCATGCTCTGTATTTGGTGGGGCCAGCTCGGCGTAGTGTGTTATGAGCTGTTAAAACCGACTGAAACAATCACAGGCGATCGTTATCGAATTCAATTAATGCGTTTGAGCCGAGCATTGAAAGACAAACGGCCGCAATACAACGAGAGACACGATAAAGTGATTTTGCAGCATGACAATGCTCGACCTCATGTTGCGAAAGTGGTCAAGACATACTTGGAAACGTTGAAATGGGAAGTCCTACCCCACCCGCCGTATTCTCCAGACGTTGCTCCCTCTGACTATCAGTTGTTTCGATCAATGGCACACGGCCTGGTTGACCAGCACTTTCGGTCTTATGAAGAAGTAAGAAATTTGATCGATTCGTGGATCGCTTCAAAAGATGACCAGTTTTTTCAACGCGGGATTCGTACGCTGCCCGAAAGATGGGAGAAAGTAGTGGCCAGCGATGGACAATACTTTGAATTATAAATGTATAACCAGTTTTTTACAATAAAGCCTCGAATTTCGGAAAAAAACGGCGGAAGCAAAGTTGTAGACCTAATAAGTAATATTTCTATACTTACTTGTCCAACAGAGGTTTCATTATCTAACACCGAATTGGAGAGTTTTAATATCTTTTGATATAATAATGCAGTACATGCTATTTTGATCTTCAATCCTATATGCATGGTATAATGTACAGCATAGTGTGTAATAAAAGTATCCAATATAGATAGCAGAATTATACCGACTACGTTGTAATACACTTCGTTATTCCATTCTCTTTTATCACTCGCAAAATAGCGTAATAAATTAGCAAGTAACAACGGTTGATATATTCTATAACGTAGTTAAACGTTTCAAGAGTTAATGTAAAAAAATATTATTTTACGCACAAGGTGTTAGTGATTAACATAATCAGTTTTTTTTTAAGTTAACGCTAAATCATACAGAAAATTAGCATTTATGATGTTAACAATTATAGTATTATTAGGTTGTTACACATGAAAAATCGATTTTTTAGTGAAACTTCAAATTGTAGTGCGTAATTTTGTTTAAAATAAATTTCATTAATTAAAATAAAAAAAACATCAGCATATGCAATGCACTATTTCCAACGTGATACAAATTATGCATACACATTTATTTATATATATATTATATTAATTTGAATTTATACAGGTAATGAATTCTTTAAGGCAGACTTGATTGCCATTTTGTTTCTAAATGTATTGAGTGGTTTAGATATTTAAAGAAATAGTATTCAATTTGTGAGAGGTCTAATAAATATAGTGGATGAGGAAGAGTATCATACTGTAATTGTTTAAGTTTCATGACTGTCGTTGTTGAGATATATAGTCGTGCATTGTCACAAAATAGTATAACATCATATCTATTGACTAAAATTATCTCATACATAATTTTTCATGCGTTGCTCAATATTTCTCTGCATGAATGATTTGCATAATATTTCTCTACATGAATGGTTTCGCCTCGTTTGAGAAAGAAATAATGGATAAATAATATCATCTGTGAACTATCAAACAAAACAGTCAAGTCAAATCATTGAGCAAATATTGATCATTTCCATATAGAATTTGTATATATTGTTACGTTCGCGCTGGACGCTCGGTGTTATATTCGCGCTGGATGCTTGGCGAGATTTTAGCTGCAAGGCGTTTTCCCTAACAACGAGTGGGATTTGTTTAACGAAGGGTTGTGGTGGTTGTTTTCGGGGCTTTCGGCTTGGAAAGACGTGTCACTCTCGGTTACGAATATAAATGAATGTTGTATTCCTGTTGTACATAATATTTCTGTGTATAAAATCAAGAATCAAAGTAAAATGGCAAAAGAGCCACGCACAGTTCTTTGGCTCTTTTGCCATTTTACTTTGATTCTTGATTTTATACACAGAAATATTATGTACAACAGGAATACAACATTCATTTATATTCGTAACCGAGAGTGACACGTCTTTCCAAGCCGAAAGCCCCGAAAACAACCACCACAACCCTTCGTTAAACAAATCCCACTCGTTGTTAGGGAGAACGCCTTGCAGCTAATGTCTCGCCAAGCATCCAGCGCGAACATAACACCGAGCGTCCAGCGCGAACGTAACAATATATACAAATTCTATATGGAAATGATCAATATTTGCTCAATGATTTGACTTGACTGTTTTGTTTGATAGTTCACAGATGATATTATTTATCCATTATTTCTTTCTCAAACGAGGCGAAACCATTCATGTAGAGAAATATTATGCAAATCATTCATGCAGAGAAATATTGAGCAACGCATGAAAAATTATGTATGAGATAATTTTAGTCAATAGATATGATGTTATACTATTTTGTGACAATGCACGACTATATATCTCAACAACGACAGTCATGAAACTTAAACAATTACAGTATGATACTCTTCCTCATCCACTATATTTATTAGACCTCTCACAAATTGAATACTATTTCTTTAAATATCTAAACCACTCAATACATTTAGAAACAAAATGGCAATCAAGTCTGCCTTAAAGAATTCATTACCTGTATAAATTCAAATTAATATAATATATATATAAATAAATGTGTATGCATAATTTGTATCACGTTGGAAATAGTGCATTGCATATGCTGATGTTTTTTTTATTTTAATTAATGAAATTTATTTTAAACAAAATTACGCACTACAATTTGAAGTTTCACTAAAAAATCGATTTTTCATGTGTAACAACCTAATAATACTATAATTGTTAACATCATAAATGCTAATTTTCTGTATGATTTAGCGTTAACTTAAAAAAAAACTGATTATGTTAATCACTAACACCTTGTGCGTAAAATAATATTTTTTTACATTAACTCTTGAAACGTTTAACTACGTTATAGAATATATCAACCGTTGTTACTTGCTAATTTATTACGCTATTTTGCGAGTGATAAAAGAGAATGGAATAACGAAGTGTATTACAACGTAGTCGGTATAATTCTGCTATCTATATTGGATACTTTTATTACACACTATGCTGTACATTATACCATGCATATAGGATTGAAGATCAAAATAGCATGTACTGCATTATTATATCAAAAGATATTAAAACTCTCCAATTCGGTGTTAGATAATGAAACCTCTGTTGGACAAGTAAGTATAGAAATATTACTTATTAGGTCTACAACTTTGCTTCCGCCGTTTTTTTCCGAAATTCGAGGCTTTATTGTAAAAAACTGGTTTTTTTTTTCCGTGTTCTCTCTTCCACCGCTATGTCGGTCTTCGACGTGCAAATCACCGTTCTTGAAGCGTTGAAACCACCCACGACACGTTCTTTCACTAATAGCGGCCTCACCATAAGTATTTGAGAGCATTCGATGAGCCTCAGCCGCAGATTTCTTCATATTGAAGCAGAAAATTAAAACCTTCCGCAAATTACGAGAATTTGGCTCGTAAACTGACATTTTCAATCGAGAATAACTTTATGATGCAGACACAAATTGACTAATGTTTCTATGGGGTTATGTTGACAGATGCCCAAGTTTATTGCATGACGTCTATGATCTATTTATTTCGACCACTACTTACCGCTAAAGCCATCTATAGGAAAACGGCGGAAGCAAAGTTGTACACTTAATATATTTTGAAAACAATATAATATTGATATAACGTAAGATGTGGTTAGAGTGAAGTCTCAATACGAATGATAATGTAAATGATTATTATATATGCATATCTGAAAAATTATATTTTTCTCCTCTTTTAGATAGTGAATTTCCTGAGTACTGATATTACCAGATTGGAAACATCCTTAATAGATCTGCACTACATTTGGATCGCGCCTATTCAAATCATATGGATTACATATATTATATTTTCCGAGGTTGGATGGACAGCAGTAATGGGAATGTCAGTATTTTTATTATTTATTCCTTTTCAAGGTAAGTCTTTTTAGATTTTTAAATCGGGGGTCAATTCATAATAAATTTAAATTAATATTAATTCGTATTTCTTTAATATTAAGACTTTTATCCCGTCTCATCCCATCCGCACAAATTAGATTATACACACAAGGGAACCTCGCGAACCCGAAAATTCTGATTTTGATGAAACTTTACATACATGTAGGAGGGGGGATCAATAGATGAATTAAGAAATTTTCAGTTGCTGCCCAAAAACGGTTCTAAGGGGTGAAAGCACCCTTCATATTGTTATGCTTTTTATTATCTTCCCTTGGTTTCCCAGGAGGGGATCGTTTAGCGACAAGACCATGTGTCGTGTTGCTCGATTTTGGCGGCAAGATCCGGATGCAAGTTAAGGAGTTCTAAGGGACTTCTTTGCTTGCATTTTCGCAATTTCCTTTTCGCTTTTAGGTAGGATCTCTACGTTGCATTTTCGCAACGCATTAATTCCGCTTGCCTTGATTTCCGCGTTTTCGTAATGAGTGATTGCGCGGTCGCTCGGGCTTCGCGCGTGGCTCGCGTTGTCAGCGCTTCGCTCGGTCAACGTTCGTAACGTGATCTGTATTTGCGTTACACGTTGAGCAATATCTTATCGTATAAAATAATATCTCTAAAATACTATATATCTATTAATTCGTGTATGGCCTTTTCGGGCTATAACAATATATATATAGAGCGGCTTTTTGCTTTTCTCGATATATCTCAAAAACTATTCGAGATATCAAAAAATGTTTCATACAAAAGTTTTATGGTAAAAACAGCTCTATTTAACTGCATCAATAAACATTTAAAAAATTGTTTTTTTTTAAAGATTTCTGAAAAAAATTTTGTTTTAAATTATTTTTTTAAATTTTTATTAATGTGGTTAAATAGAATTGTTTTTACCATGAAACTTCTATATTCATTTATTTGGTTATGTTTTTATATTCGTAATAGAAATCTTGATTATTTTGCGATTGAACATGTTTTTCCATTCCTTAACTTATGAAAGATTATATCATCAAAGATTGTGTATAATTATCGTAATTAAACAAAATAAAAATAGTTACAATTGAATATGTGGCTAATAACGTATATTAATTCCATGATTATTGATATTCTTTATAAGAGTTACCACATTATGTTTTGACAGCGTTCCCTATGATGTAAATATAAGTATTTACAGTCATGATATTCCTCAAAGAAATGATGCATACAAAAATATTTTTTGCACCAAGAGCAACGTATTACAGCAGGTGCACCACATATGGAACAGCGTGGAATTTCTTCTATATCTTTTCCGGAGAAACAAAAATCCACCGGGTTTTCAAAATGTGATGGCCGTCCTTCGAGGTAACCACTTTAAAACCAGGCATATTTGAAAAAATTATGGAATTGTGGAGAGGACAGTTGTATATGTGTTAAGGATTGTAATTCGATGATATTATTTCTCAAATGTAAATTGATATCATAATTTAACAACATAACGCAATCACTAAATGTCCTCACAAAGTTTTTCCATATTCTAAACCCATAAACGTCAACGGGTTGAATCATTCCTGTATTTTTTTTTGGTATTGTTAAAATCCGTACATCTTTATCTTTAGATGGCATAAACTCTTGTAGGTTCGCGGGACGATGTCCGCTCCAAGAGTCTAATAATAACACACTGAAGGCTCCAGTTGCGGGTAAAAGTACATTTATAAACCAAGATTGAAAGTGTTGTGTAGTTAATTTTCCTGATTTTGATGCTGCAATAAAAATATTTGCAAGCCTAAACAAAGTCTCTTCTACGCATGGTCCAAAACCTCCATGGCCTCTTTCAAAACCAAATAAAAAGGTGATTGCAGTTGCCCGCTTGCAGAAATTGTAGGCATAATAGTATAGCTGTGTGTGTAATTGCTGATTGTGATTGAACTACAGTTTCGACTGTTTTAACACCTTGTTTTATTAACATTCTTCCTGAATGTATTTCTAAATTGAACACACTTTCATCTGCATTATATATATTTTGTATTTCAAAGAGATCTATAAATGATTTCACAGAATTTATAAATTCTTGGCATGCAATTTGTAATTGTTCTTGATTTGTCTTTGATGAACGATTTATAAATTTTGTTATTTTTCTTGACACTGTGCCGTGTCTTTTAAAATTTAATATCCACGTTGCTCCTGCTTTAAAATGAGGAAGATTAATTTCTTATTTTGCTTCTAGCGCCCATCATCGCAAATCTAAATCATGAATAATTCTGTTTTGGTCGTTAGCGTCTTCGAATTTTTTCAAGACATGTTCAGAAATTTGTAATAGTTTTTCTCTATGAGTACCACCTTTTTGTAAAGAGAGTTTCCATCGATACAACTGCGGACAAGGACTTTACCTTTCTAAAGCGATGTTGTACTGTTAATAAAGCGTAACAACCCTTTTTTCCACTTTTCCAGAATTCAACAGCTTTTTTTTTATAATCATTATTTATAATTTTGCCTTCTTTCAATGTACAACTATCTTCTCCCTCATCTTCATTATTTTCTTCAAGTTCTTCTATTTCATCAGCTGCGACAAATTGTGCTTCGGATAAATTTGAGTCCCAATAATTCTCAAATTCTAACGTAGTATCGGTCTGCATTGCAAATGATATGTCATCCATTGAATTTTGTATAATATAGCAGTGCTCGGAATTAAATGCCCTTTTCGGGCCGATATCTGAGGCAACACCTACGATTCCCCCACTACCGTTCGAGGCTCGACAGCCGCCGATCGCGCGGGTAACGCTGTGCTTCAGGAGAGTCCCTATATAAAAAATATTCTGGGATCGTATCTTCTGCCAAATCGTCATTAAAACTTTCCTTGCTAGATAATTTTTATTTTCATAAATAATTAAATATCAAAATTTCTATTATTAATATATATAAAAAAAAATGATAGAAGACTTTTCGACTCAGTTTGGTCCGCTCTATCTGCACACGAGTATTGTCCCAAATGATCTGGGACACCCTGTATATTATATATGTTATAATAATATATTTTAGTCAGTAATATATAATAATTACACTTTTGATAATAGCTTTCCATTAGGAATAGGCCTACTGGAAAAACCACTTAAAAAAAAAACGCATCAACTATTAATACCTCAGCACTGCTAATTCCGAGCACTGCTTTATAGTATCATGTAATTCGATTTCTTTATCATTTACTTGTGTTCGTGGAATATTTGAAATTTGGAATGAAATAATTAACATATTAAGAACATTCGCAGGATTCACATGTAACATTTGGCTTAAATTAAAGATACAGATACTTTTTCCGAAAATTAAAACTCTGACAATCTTACACTTGAATGAATCGTTAAACTTGTTGGTTACACTTTATACTAAAACTGCGCGCAATATTTCCGATTTATATAGAGTTTTATAATCTTATTTACATATTCCTTATATAACATTTTATAAATAAGGAAAATTACTTCAAAATATTCTCACGTTGTGGTGCAACGTGACTACTTTGCAGTGGGAGCATCCCATTTGACCACGTTGATATTGACTACGGTCCCGATTGACCACGTTGAGATTGACCACGTTGCGATTGACCACGTTGCGATTGACCACGTTGATATTGACCACGGTCCCGATTGACCACGTTGAGATTGACCACGTTGCGATTGACCACGTTACGATTGACCACGTTGATATTGATCACAGTCCCGATTGACCACAGTCCCGATTGACCAAGTTGATATTTACCACGATTCCGATTGACCAAGTTGATATTTACCACGATTCCGATTGACCATGGTCCCGATTGACCACGGTTCAAATTGACCACGGACCCGATTGACCACGTTGATATTGACCACGTTAATATTGACAACGGTCCCGATTGACCAATTGACCACGTTGCGATTGACCACGTTATATTGACCACAGTCCCGATTGACCACGTTGATATTGACCACGTTAATATTGACCACGTTAATATTGACCACGGTCCCGATTGACCACGTTAATATAGACCACGGTCCCGATTGACCACTGTAACAAGATGTGTCGAGTTTGGAATTTTCGGAGTTGAAATCTAAACTCGAATTGCGTTTTGGGGAAGGACATCTGTTTGAGAATTTTTACACGCAATTTACGAACCGTAAACAGAAAGCTGGGGAAGATTTTGCTACCCTTGGCTCTGAGCTTGAAAGACTTGTGCGCCTCGCTTATCCTGAATGTCCGCTTGAGGTTCGCGAAAGAATTGCCTGGTTGTTATTTCACACTAGATGCGATTTGCGTGTGTGTTAAAAAATATATGCCAGAGGCGATCAATTCGTGAGCTGGTTGTTATTTCACACTAGATGCGATTTGCGTGTGTGTTAAAAAATATATGCCAGAGGCGATCAATTCGTGAGCTGGTTGTTATTTCACACTAGATGCGATTTGCATGTGTGTTAAAAAATATATGCCAGAGGCGATATATTATTCTGTTGCGATGGAGACAAACAATGTATTATAAATGTTTATTACAAATATATAAACATTTATGTATACGAACAAAAAAAAGACAATATAATATATATTTGTATAAATAATACATTGTTGTTATATATCCATTGATTATATCGATTGAAAAAAATTAGCTGCGTTGCATAGATCGCAACTTATAGAAAGTTACATGATAATATTCAGAATATATGTATATATATCATACACATACATCTGTATACGTCTATGTACATATTATACATATACATATATATATATACACAATTATATATATAACACTTAACCAAATGTTATTCCTCTTGGAAGATATATGGGAAGACACATAGCCCGTATGAACAATGTGAAATTATGTTCAAATATGTGATGAAGGCAGACACGTCTATATTATACTGTTATCTATACGCATAGATATGCGTGCGAGGCAATGGAGCAGTAGAAATACACGATGTTGTCCGATTTCAACATATTGAACACAATTCTCTTTCAAATATGCATAGAACATGCAAAAATATTCA